AGCGTTATGGGACAGAAAACATTTTATCTGTAAAATTTTATCTGGAATAAATAAGATCCTAGATATTGAAGAAAAGAATCAGTCGACATAACATCAAATCACAACACAAAATCAAATTTGATTGGTATATATATATTCGATTAGAAATGTTATTTATATTCATAGTTTGAAATTACAATAGCATACAAATTGATTGCTTTTCGTCCCCATATCGATACGTTTTCTCTTCATATCGCGTACAATATTGCGATATTTGATTTGTTTTTGCCGGGTACACATAAACTATTAGCAAACTGCGCGATGACTCGACGATTGACATTTGTTTATCGTGATTTCCACGTCCACGTCCACTATATTTTTCGGTGTAATGGCTTCCTGGTTATAAATAAACCGTTTCGATCAGTCTGTTTACGCGTGGGACACGTATCGCTTGTAATCTCTGATCGAAATCTCCACCAATCTTCTATTTTCATTCTTTCCTCATTCTTATCCAACATCTTGTTTCCCAACCGATCTCGAAAGAAATATTAGTAAAAATAACGACGAAGGGCAAACTATTATGTGAAGAAAAAAACATATAATATTTCCTCCTCCTCCTCCTCCTTCTTCTTCTCCTCTGATAAAACACGATGAGAGAATTCCTCTCACGATTCGTATTAAATTCTACTAAATTAACGCGATTAAAATTCTTCCTGTGCCGCGTACAAATGCGTAATAGAATCATTTTGTAGGATAATATATGCAAAAGTGAGAAAGTACTTTTCAAGTACTCAATTGAGACGATAAGGAAGAAAGAAGCTTTTGAAAAAAAAAAAATTCTTTCGCCAGGTTTTAATTTTAAATTAAACGGTACAAAATTTAACAACAATAATAAAATCGCGATACACCCCTTCGTAAAACCGTATGTATAAATCCGCGTGGGCGGTTAACACCCGATGATTCCTTACAGGGTCGAATTAAAAACCACCCACACACTCCGCGATTAAATTAACAAGCAGACAAACGTAATTTACACGATGCGGAACTTGGTACTAAAACTTGCATACTGGAAACTGGAACGTCAATAGACTCCCACTCGGGGGGTAAACCGAATAAAGTTTGGTAAACTTGTCAAATGACGTTTTCGTTTCGTCTTAAGCCAGCGTGAACAACTTTTATCAATGCTAAATTTCATTTTTTTCATTCTCCTTCGAATTCACGGGCTGAAGATAAATAAATAATCGTATTTAAATAGAAGAGAAGAGAAAGGAAAGGAAAAATCATGAATATTCAGTAAACTTGTCAATTTCATTTCATGAAAAATTTCTATCGACTCTTTATTAACTTTGTAGTAGTAAAAAATAAATCGTGTTTATAAAGTATAAGCAATAAATAGACTGCGAATGTTTATGCATTTAAAAAAAATTTGTAAAAAATGTATAAAAATATACGTATACAAATATACGATATGCAAAAAAGCAAAAAATATTCATAGCACATTGTGTGTATTTGAAAAATAAGACGTATCTTTATTTAAGCTCCATTCTCTTCTTTAACCACATTCATAAAAATTTTATTTTATTCTATTTATATTCGCAGTTTAATAATAAATAATTAACATTATTAATTATTATTTTGCCATCTCATTTATTATTATTAAATTTCTATCGATATCGAATTCGTTTTTTATCCTTTGTTTTATATTTTAAAATAAGTTGTATCGAGAATAATGAAGACAAGAAAAAAAAAGAGAGAGAAATAATAAACGAGCAACAAGAGAGTACGTGAAAAGAGAGAGAGAGAGAAAAAAAAATAAAAGAAAAAATATGAAAGGAACGTTATTGGGCTCGAAATTCTACCGATATAAAATAGGCTAAAGGCAGATGCAAACATTCCTCGAGGGAGGATCGTGGGTCCTGAAGGTTCCCATCAAGCCTTGACCCCGTTTTTGGACTCGACACGTTGCTTTTGGGGCGTTCTCGCGGATGGCCCCTGCATCGATCTTTGTAGATGGAACCGCACCCTTATTCGTGTCTGCTGGAGACTAAATGACGAAAGGAAACAGAATCTCTATCCGGTTGCCAACCAAACGTTTTGTAAATGTATCGAATGTTCCTTAATTATCCATTGTATCTATTTGTAATCTATTTTTATTTTGCGAATAGTTATTCTTCAATTATTTCTATTACAATGAGAGAATTATTTGTGGAATTTTTGCAAGATTTCGTATAAAAATATTGAAACGATAAGATGAATATATCTTATGAATAAATGATATTTTGATTTTATGCAAATTTAAGAATTATCCGAATTTAGAATATATATATATATATATATATATATATATATTATTAAATTATAATTATATAAGGAAGATAGAATGCCAATTATCGATGTATCGACATCAGGTTGGACTATTCAGGATTCATGCCCCAATTCACGCTCTCTATATCCTTGTTTCAAGACAGAGAACCTAATAGAGAATTCTTCTCAACGAGGTTCCCCGCGATATGCACGATCGATCGAAAGTGAAATTTATCTCGTTTATCTCGCCGTAAGAAAAATTTGTCAAATCGAATCCTCATCTCTTTAACATTGGAATAATATCGATAATATTCCATTCTCTTTCTCAGAAATGAAAGATATTTTTACTGTTCGAAAATTTAGAATCTAAAAATTCTTTTATATTTGCAACGATCATAAATACAAGTATCCAAGTTTTTTTTATTAGGCAAAATTTATGAAATGATTCATAAATGGAAATTTTCCAAATTTATAGACGGTAAGCTTTTAGCAATGTCTGTATGGCGAAACAGTTTATCGTAAAATCGTCTGATAGCCCTTATATCTTCGATCGAATCATGCGAAGGTTTCTGTACTCTTTTCTCACGTAGAGCAATTCTGAAGCAATGGAAAGAAGAATACGAGTCGTTAAAAATCTTTATAACGGGAAAAATGAGTAGGATTTAATACTACAACAAACACAGTAATAAAATTTACAAAATTTGTTGGAATATCAGTATCAGTGAGATGGTCAAGAAACGTGATACCTTTTTAAGAGAGTGGTTGGTTTTCAGAATTTTTAAGATACATTATGCAAATTTAATAATATAACAATTAGTATATTAATATTTTTATTTTATTTATATAAATTATATGTATTATTATAAAGGTAAAATGATTTTAATTAGTTAAAATTAATTTTTCAAATTTTAAAAGTATCTGTTGCACATTTTTAACAATTATTATGTTATAATTGTAATGTTATGTAATTATTATGTAATTTTGTTTCTCGAAGAGACAAGGGCTGTTTTATTCTTGATTTTTCTTTCTATGTATCTTTTTCGAAGTACGAAAAGAAGAAAAAGAAATTACACATCATATTTCATAAAAATTTCATAAAAATCCCCAAGATTTTTTCAATATCGAATATTAATTGAAGTCTTCAGCAATGATCTATCCATAATTGAAGGTTTCTGTTCGAAAATCGTTAATAGAAAAATTACGATCGATCGATTTGTATCATTTATTGGAAAACGTATCCTCTTTGGGAATTATTTTTTTGATATTTTTACCATCAGAGAAAAACTCGATTTTGTTGAAAACTTTTTCTGTTAAAATATTAATTTCTTTTTTGAATTTTTTTTACCTTCGAATATTAAAATTAAAATGGCGCTGTAACTTTTTAATAAATTTCGAATGAATCGTAGAAAATAAAAATATTATTTAATAATCATTAAATATGAATGTTACGTAATAAACAAAAATAAAAAAAAATTGTGTGGTTCTCTTTCTTGTGAAGAAAATTATTCTTTTCTCTTTCTTCTCTTACTTAAAGAAAATTCTTCGACTGACACATTTTTCAACAAATCTTTGTGTTGAATACAGAGATTGCAAAGTGTAACTACGGCATTCTACGAAAAGAAAAAAATTCATCTAAGGCACAAGTGGTTGCGTGGGCAGCACGTTCAGCTTATTAAAGTTGGGAAACCGTGTTACTTCAAAATGGCTACTATAAATGGGGAATGTTTATTCTGCAGCCGGTTAACCCGCAAAATTCTTCAGATATGCTTAATTCAAGCTGCCTTTTCGAGTTTTAACGTTGTCGAAAATGTTTTAAACGGATTAGAAATACGGTGATTAAACATACAACGATGGATATCTTGATTCCTCATAGCACTAAACTTAATTTTCATAGAATTGAAAATTTCTCTTCGAAGATTTTAATATATTAAAAAAAAAAAAAATTCTCTTTAATTGAAAATTTAAAAATTCAAATCGACACGCTAATACAAATTACGAAAATTCACGTTAAAATTAATTTCAATTGGGTGAGAGGTAAATCTTGGAAAAATTTAATGAAATGAAAATTCAAATATATATACAAAAAAAAATCTATAATTTCGATCGAGTGAGGAGCAATCTTGGAAAAATTTAATGAAATTAAAACTCAGATCGAAAGATCGTACAAATTATGAAAATCCATTTAATCGAAAATTATAATTAATATCGATTACAACAAGGAACAATTTTCGAAAATACAGCATTAGAAATGATGATATCCACGATTTTTATACCGAATCACTTCGTTTCACCGGTTGTTCGCGAAAATTATTCATATTTATAGCCAGAATATCCATGAAAAGCTCCGCTATGAAAATGGCTCGCGTTCTCTTTTGCATACGCGAAAAGCTTTCGCCGATATTCGCGGGGGATTTGCATACGACCATCGATTTATTCCTCTTCATCTGGCCGAATCTTGGCCAAATCTTCTCGAGATTTGAATCTCGGCGAAGCGAAGTAAGTAACGAAGTTGTGTTGAAACGAAAACGTGGAACGAAGAGATACTAGAAATTTTAAATTGTTCCAACGATTTTCTATTTCATATCGAACATTATTGCAAAAAGTGATCTGACTATATATCAAATTGTTACTCGCGATCGATAAATCGTCTTCGATCAAAGCATTAATTTATTAATCGATTGATCAGAATTTTTTCGTTATCTTTTCATTAATTCCTACGAAATTAATTTACAAAGTGAAGAAGAATTTTTAAACTACTCGCTTCTACCCTCGAATCTATTAACCATCCTTATTTACCACCCCTCCATTCAAATTCCAATTAATCTCGCAATAAAATCGTGATCCATCTGAACCCCGTTGACCCTCAGCCAGACGTCTGAACCCGCTTATAAATAGCGCCAGCCTTCATTTATTCGAGACGAGCCCGTATGTGTTTTCCATTCACCGAATGGAATTTTTCAAGCCGAAAAAACAGATCGTGGATCGACGAGATCCGGAAGTTTCCGGAACGAGGAATGATTTTGGAGGGCAGGAATTGGGGATACAAGGGTAAAAGACCCACGAGGGTGGGGTTGCAATTCGTAGGAGGGTTCAAGGCACTCGTAAAACTCGCTTGGGTAGCCATGGCAACCTGTTTTACGGTTGAAACCACCGACATCTCCCGAGGGCGCATCCACGAATCAAGAAATAAATTTCAGACGTGTATACGCGGATACACGCGCACAGTTCATGGACCACCAACGTTTACGATCACCCAGACGAATATTTTTCCACGCGCCGACTGATTCACGGGACATCTTTGGAACGCGATAAACAGTATCGATTCGACGAAGGGGAAAGGTGGAGGACCGTTGGAAACACTTTTTGCGATACGATGGACGTCGAGGGGTGTAACAGGGTTGAAGGTAAACCCGGATGTTTGCCATTCTTTTTCTACTTTCTTTTTTCCTTCTCTTCATTTTGAGAAGATTTTGACAAGTTTGTAGAAGTTTTAACTCGTTATAACTCGGATTGATTATATTATAATACGTTCTTTGTTTAATTTTTGACACATCTTGCATCTTGGTTATTGTATAATTTCTATGATTACACGAATAAATATAATTTCTTTCTATAGATTTTTTTAGAAAATCACGTTGCAATTAGATACATGTTAACTTACACATTTTCGAGTCTCTAAACTTGTATCCTTTACGTCGAATATTCTTAGAAATTTGACGACTCTTACCTGAAACAAAAAGAAACGAATATATTAGAAAAAAATTCTAATTTTTTTGAAAACGAATAAATTGAAGAATTCTATAATAATATGTACTAATTTATTTGAAAAACAAAATAAAAGTTCAAACACAGAGACAAAATCATAAACCGCAAAACAACATTACTCTTCCATTTATTTCCCTACATTCATCATTGTCCAATTCGTTACAGGGCCATCGATCAATATGATATTTCCATTTCTCGAGCCTATTTCTCGTATCGTTCCTGTTCCAAAGGCAGCAAAAAGGACAAGTGGACGTGGGCCTGTATATCGAATTAACCTTTGGGCAGGTGAGCGAAAGAACAAAGGCATCCGACTTCCGGAAACGTGATCGAACGCGTCGATCGTCGAGAGGAAAAACGCGCTTCCACTTTATCGTCCTCGAAGGAACAGCGGTCTCGACATTCACGATCGAACGCTTTCGGAGCGCTGCACGTGACGTCGAGGGAACAACTTTTCCTTCTTCGTAGGTGGAGAAAGATTGTCCGAGATAACGATCACGCATGGAAAAATGTTTGGTTTTATATAACAGATTTCCAATGTGGAATTTATCGTGGAATTTCCCGTGTATTTTAAAGAAAATTTATTTTACTTTTTATAGTTACGTTATCTATCTTTTGAAACATGATTTTTCTATGCTATTTCTGTTCAATGTAACGATATTTCGCTTCAAATTCTTTTGTTTCGTTTAAAAACGTATTTAAAAATTCAATTTGCAAAAAATGTTTCATATTATATAAGACGTATGCCAAATTACGTATTTTATAATTTTATAGACACAATAGACCATTGCGTTCGCTCAAAATTACGATGAAACTTTGATTTTTCGTATAAAAAATACAAACGAGGAAACTGAAAATTTTATCGCCAAAACCCACTCAATAAATAGAGGAAGTCGTGCCATTTAAATCACTTTTTGTTTTATCTCAATATCTCAATCCGTTGCCGAGATATAAATACTTAAAGTTTCCATGGTACTTAAGACGGTGCAAAAATTATGAATGGCCCGCGACCCACTGACCCACATATTTTTCCTGGAATATGCGTACTATATTTTTCCAGGAATCGCGTCTGTCACTCGTCTGATGTTTGGCATAGGTTAGTGAGACGAGGTGCGAGCGAGAGATCCGAGTAAGTAACAAGGACGAAGATAATAAACGATTAAAAATTACCCTTTTCTTTACACGACGATATCTCGGCAACCGGAAGTCGTATCGAGATAAACGAAAAAGCGTTTTAAAGAGCAAGGTTCAGCGCTTCTAACGATCTTTCATTGATTAACCGGAAGTCAATATCTTCGGAGTTATAGCGATTCAAAGTTTTTCTAATTTTAATAAGGTTAAGGTAAATGATTAAAAATTACGTTTTCTTTATACAATGATATTTTGGGAACCGGAAGTCGTATCGAGGTAAACGAAAAAGCGTTTTAAAGAGCAAGGTTCAGCGCTTCTAACGATCTTTTATTGGTTAACCGGAAGTCAATATCTTCGAAGTTATAGCGATTCAAAGTTTTTCTAATTTTAATAGGGTTAAGATAAATGATTAAAAATTACGTTTTCTTTATACAATGATATTTTGGGAACCGGAAGTCGTATCGAGGTAAACGAAAAAGCGTTTTAAAGAGCAAGGTTCAGCGCTTCTAACGATCTTTTATTGGTTAACCGGAAGTCAATATCTTCGAAGTTATAGCGATTCAAAGTTTTTCTAATTTTAATAGGGTTAAGATAAATGATTAAAAATTACGTTTTCTTTATACAATGATATTTTGGGAACCGGAAGTCGTATCGANNNNATAAACGAAAAAGCGTTTTAAAGAGCAAAGTTACGCGCTTCTAACGATCTTTCATTGGTTAACCGGAAGTCAATATCTTCGGAATTATAGCGATTCAAAGTTTTTCTAATTTTAATAGGGTTAAGGTAAATGATTAAAAATTACGTTTTCTTTATACAATGATATTTTGGGAACCGGAAATCGTATCGAGATAAATGAAAAAGCGTTTTAAAGAGCAAAGTTCCGCATTTTTAATAATATTTCATCCATTGACCGAAAATTATTATCTTCGGATTTATAGAAGTTCAAAGTTTTCCTAATTTTAAAATAATTTATTCGAATTTTAAAATAAATTACGTGATAAATTTATTTATTCTCTGGAAGAACAATTTTTGTAACAGTCTTATTAATAATATACTGTATATACTGTTTTTACATTGATTTAAAAAATCCTCTGGACAAAGTAAATTAGATTTTTATTCAATCGATTGATTTGGATTTAATTACATTGATTAATCGAACGAATTTAATGGAATATTCTATAATTTTTTATAGACGTATCCTGAACATATCTTCTATTTACGTTTTTTTATCGAAAATTATCGAATTATACCATTTTACATCGAGATCGAATGAATACTTTATAAAATTTAACGAACGAAGATAATTACGAAATATTAAAATTTAATCAGTGTGAAAAACAGAAACGAAAAAAAGGATCGTAATATTATAAAATAATATTATAAAATTTACACGCATGAAATCGGACAAAGCAGTTATTTTTTTCTTTAATACCGATGCACGATAGAATCGTTTGCCAAGTACGATGATCGGACATGCGGGCATGTTTCGATTTACTAATCGTTTCGAAAGCAAACAGACCGATAAATGCGACGTATATGCGGGCGATCTCCGCAATGGTTAGCGGGGACACCGATTTTCCACCGCTTTTCCAAAGATAACTTTCGACACGAATCGGCGAACCTTTTTTTACGCGATTCCTTGATTTATGACTTCGAATACGTGAAAATGGGGGTATATATTCTGAAACATTGTATTCCTTGACAATCGAGGGCAAAGAAAATCATTATCCTTTTTTTTTTTTATTTTAAACGCCTTCCGATTTATAGAATAAATACATCGAAATGCACATCTCTGTGAAATCTATTCTAAATCATCCACATCTCATCAAATTCTAATATTTAATAGAATATTGCCAATCATCGAAATTCAGGGATTCCAATTTATAATTTCGAAACACAAAGAAAAAAAAAGGAAAAAAAAAAAAAAAATAAAAAGAAAGGGAAGAACGTCTCTCGAAGAAAATTTTTCCAAATGAAATTAATCATTAGCTGTAACGATGTCCTCTCCCCTGTAATTGAAGGAATAGCTATATTATTGAAACTATGTTACTTCGCGACGAGGGACCAAATTAAACGCCATCCAGCCGCGGAGTAGCCGCAATTTCGTTCAAATTTAAGGGGGACGAATGTAAATGTTTCGCGTGAGGAATCAAGCGAGCACAAGCTCGGCAGTTACGTAAATCACTGTACCCCTACCGCAGCATCTCCCCTCTGTGCAATTAATTGGCACCGATCCACTTGCTCGAGTTTGCGCCCAGATGCGTGCCGACCATGGACAATCTCCGTTTCCATCTGATGAATGCGAGGAATGATTGATTTCTGTTATCCCTCTCCCCCCTTCTACCTCTATCGAATTATCTTCCGTTCAACACGGAACGAGCAGAATTTAGTAACAGTTTTATAAAGATTCCGGTGGGTGGTTTGAATCGATTTAACTCTTCGATGACGAATTATTTCTTACTTTCACTTTTCTTCCTTTCTTCTTTCCCTTCTGGAGGATTGAGTGGGTGTTGAATATCTTTTTTTTTGGAGATTGAGTTAGTTTGAAATGATTCATCAAGGTTTTTTATATATTATGTATTGTGAATAGTAACAGGTGTGGTAAAAAGTTAGTTTATTATATTCGATTTGAAGAGATTTTAAAAATTTCTACAAAGGTGAAAGATTCAGAAATTTTTTCACAAAGAAGAGAATTTTTATTTGTTAAATGTAATCGTTTGTAACTGTATTAAAATGATGAAAAGTGGGAAAGAAGATTGTGGAACAGCATTAACGTTTATAATATTCGCGGTACGCGATGGATGTCAACGATCAAACACGAGAATAGCGCAAATGGAAGAATTTTTAGTCGAATAACGGTGCAACCGTCCAAATAACGCAATTTCAACGTTGAAATAATTGCATACAATAAATCAAAGCTAACTCAGTCACGCGGTAAAATTCTCAAAAGTGTGCTCGGTTTCCTGGCGAATTTTTCTGTTTTGCAAACTCGATCAGTTTGCAAGAAAATTGAAAGTTTGTTCAGTTGAAACTGTTATACAGTCGAAAAAATTGATTTCTTTTAAACTTAACTGAAAGATAGAAAAAAATTTAACAAAAAGGGAAATAAAAATATCGAAACAATTTTTTTTTACGTAAAAATAATATTTAAAGAAATTTTTAGAGATTGAAAATATTCTGAAACAATTTGCTGCAATGTAAAAACTATGAAAAATTTACGCAATGATTCTGACAAAAATTAATTTTATAAATAAATAAATACGAGGATATATCAAAAGTATATCTTCTACGATAACCATCGATCAATTATTCATCTTTTACGTATTTTCGATCCAAGATTCACGAAAGCTATTCCTTCAATCGAAAGAAGAAATCAAGAATGAAACAAGTGTTCTCTATTCCGTCTAGAGTCTCATTTAACTTGGGCAAAGTTATAATAGAGCTAAGTAGGTTTAGTCCCGCCATCTAACTCTCTAGTTAACTCCGTTAATCATGGCGTCGCCACCGCTTGGAAAACTTTTCTCCAAATATTGCATCTTCTTCGCGTCAAATTAATTCGAATGATCTAATATGTAGTTTCAGCGAGTGGCAAGATTAAAATGCTTAACCGGCTAATTTGATTAATTTAAAATGGATTTGGTCTGTAAGATAGTTTGGTGTGAACTTTGAGGTTAGATCTTGGTTAGGTGGAGATACTTGAGATTTAAATCGAGTTGGTGATAGGTTGGCGTTTAATTTGGTAGTTTAACCGAGAGCTATGCTAATTGCTTCACAGGAATTTGAATTGTATATAGCAAGATCTAAATTTAGAATATAGAAAGATAAAAAAATTT